CGTGCAATTTTGAACTCTTTGCAGCTATATATGCACACATGTGCAAAGAAATCTCCCCTATGCCACAGCAACATACAGCACTAAGAGTGTAAGCAGAGGTAGCCTCCAATTAATCGTTTCAGTCCCCAAAAACAGATACAGCTCTTCTGTGCCCATGATTTTTCCTTTTGCAAATATATAGAACACATCAATGTTTTCAGATCTGCAGGTTTTGTTCCCATCTATCTGAAAATTCAGCATGAATTCAATATCATCAAAGCCTCTGTCAGATACCCAGACAACGTCCACTCCTTGAGTAATGACTCACGTCTTATGCTTTCCATCCTCTCCTCATTTTTACAACAAAGCAAAAGGCAGAAAAGCTTGCAACAGACACAAATACTGACAGTCTCAATTAAAGGGCAGAAGCATGAGCATGACAGTAAAATGGTAATTTTTCCTTCTAATAAAAAGTGATTCTGTATTCTGTCTCCTAACCAGCATCTGGACAAACTAGAGAAATGGGTGCATAAGAACTAAATGGTTCAGCAAGTCCAAGTGCAAAGTGCTGCACCTGGGTCAGGGTAATCCCAGACATGGGTACAGAATGTGAGAACTCATTGAGAGCTGCTCTGCCAAAAAGGACTTGGTGGTTCTCATGGATGAAAACTTGGACATGAGTCAACAGCATCAGTGCTTGCAGTCCAAAATGCCAACCACACCCTCGGCTGCACCAAAAGCAAAGCAGGCAGGAGATCAAGGGAGGGGATTCTGCCCCTCTACTCTGCTGACACCCCACGAGGAATTCTGAATCCAGCCCTGTGGTCCTCAGCACAGGAAGCACAATGGCCCTGTTTAGAGCACATCTAGAAAAGGGCAACAAAGATGATCAGAGAGCTGGAACAACTCTCCTCCAAAGACAGGCTGAGAGCTGTGATTGTCCCACCTGGAGAGGGGAAGGCTCCAGGAGCACATCAGTGTAGCATTCCAGTAGCTAAAGTGGGTCTATAAAAAAGGAAAAGCAATTTTTACACAGGCAGATAGTGATCAAACAAGTGGAACGGTTTTAAACTAGAAGAGGGGAGATTTACATTAGGTGTTAGGAGTAAATTATTTCCTCAGAAGGATAGTGAGACACCAGAACAGACTGCCTAGAGAAGCTGTGTATGTCTCATCCTCGGAAGGCCAGGTTGGACAGAACTATTAACAACCTGGTCTAGTCGAAGGTGTCCCTGACCATGGCAGGTAGGCTGGAACTAGATGATCATCAAAGTCCCTTTCAACCCAAGCCATTCCATGATTCTATGCTCTCTTGTCTCTCCTTGCAACAAAAAGCATGTATATATAACGCGTACCCCTGATGGCTGTGCCTACAACAGGCTTGGGAAATACACAGGAAGAAACTCCATGCAGGGAATTTGTTCTAATGTGCATAGACCCAAAAGTGTGACCCAGATTCATGTGTCCCAAATCATTGGGCCTGCTGCTGGCTGGCTTTGGGACTCCAAAGAGATATTGACTCCAGAGAGATACTGACTCACTCAGAAGGAGCAAGGATGCTAAGTTAGCCCAAACTCAACCAAAGCTGGAACTGTGCTTGCAGGAATCAAGGACACTCAAAGCAGAAGGTACACTGGTGACCTTTCTAACTACATATTATAGGTTTTCCCTTGCAGGCTGAGCAGATTCCCCTAAAAATATAGAAAAAAAACCCACCCAGATCTCAGGAAACTAATGACATTTTTTTGTTATTACAATAGAATAAAAGAAACTAAAAATGAGCAACACATATGTCATTGTGCACAAGTACAAATACATACAAAGAGATCTAGGAAACTTCAAAAAAAAAGTGTTTTTTTACATAGCTGCATTTTTATTTGAAAGTATGTTTGCAATGCAATTAACCTAGTTATGCTCTGGAGCCTAAAAATTTCTACTTGGCACCTCTGTTCCTCCTGGAAGACTAGGAGTTGGAAAAGTTCTACTTCAGCAGGAAGAGAAGGATAAGGACCTTTGTAATCTGAGATTTTTTTTTTTTTTTTTAGTGTTTTAGTATCTCCTAGCAGTGACCTACTTTATGAATGTAAAGCCCACTCAGTTCCCACTGAGCCGAAACTATTTAGAAGAGACACAGAACAATTACTGAACACTATTTTCTTACTGATCAGCACAAAGTTATTTGGCACAAGCATCTCTGTAAATGTTTGTCCAAGACTAGGTAAATTTGCAGTGTACGATGGCCCTCAGACCTGTGCTTCTGTCAAGTGAGAAGGCTCATAGTCTAGCACTGCAGCTCAGCTATGCTTCAGCAGAAATACAGAATGCTAGAGGCTGAGCTTAATATCACTGCTGTTTTTCCCTTTGGATCTGTTCTTTCTTGTTTTCTTCAATGTTTCCTTTTGCAAACCAAAAGAAGATCAGATTTCAAATGGAATGAATGTAAGGGCAAAGAAGACGATTTGTGAAGTGCATTATACTGGGCTCCGCTTTGGCATGGAGAAACCAGAGGAAGAGAAGGGAAATATACCCAGCTCTGGGCAAGTACCAGAGGAAAAGCACAGCTCCAGAATCACTTTCAGCCTCACAAAGCTGAAGGCAAAGTCTGCTTTAGGATATGCAAGGAGGTCTGATGGACTCAGCTCACAGCAACACTGGCAGCCTGCCACAGTATTTTGTTCACGTGTGCCTGAGATATCCATGGGCCCAGAGCTGTAATTATGGTCTCAGATGTCACAGTACTACTAGCCCAGGAGATATTTATGGATCTGATACGTACAACCTATAGGCACTGTGAAGTTACAGGCACATTCAAGAAAACTCCCCACTCCAGAAGAGGGACAGCAAGTCTGTAGAAGTTCTTTCAAGCTACATCAAAGCAACACACTCCACTGGGTCTCAGTCACTGAAAGGTCTGAACAGGGTGAACTGCAGGCACAGGGCTCAGGCTCACACCACAGATGATATCAGAGGCATACTAATGAGCTGGGAACCAGGTTAAGCATTAGCACTGCTTGTTTCCCTACAGAGGGGTTTGCTGATTCTCACAGTTGCATTTTAAACTCACAATAATAATATGGACAAGTATGTGCACAATAATATGGACACTTTCCTCCACCAAAAGGGAAAGGGCAGACAATCACGTCCACACTGTTTATTTCTACAAAGGTTATGAAGCATTTAGAGAATAGAGTGCAATCAAAAAACCTAGCTAGAAAGAAAAAACTCCATATTGTTTGCTATTTATACTGCTAACTTTTGCTCCAAGGCATACTACCACACAAACAGAATCACCAAAATGTCACATCTGCAGGAAAGAAGCCCACAACTACCACTGAGGTGCATGCAGAATGTACCTCAGCATGGGGAGCAGAAACTATTCCAGGTTGCCAAATGCTAGTTCCACATGAAGCCAAGGGAGGTTTCTGTGTCCTGACGTGAGCAGACAGGACTTTGTGTGAAATACCCCCATCAGCCAGTAAGATGCATGGGAGAAAAGAAGTTTGATTGTCATCACACTTGCTTGGCTCTGGAGTAGCTGTGGTTTATTTTGAAAGAATACCTCCACTTTACTACAGCTTTAGACACTCTGCAAACATACACTTGTCAATCCATAATCTAAAGCATTACTTTCAGCAGCATAACTGCAGCCATGCAGCCTTATCAATGTGCAGTTCTTTATCCAAAATAGCTTATGTTCATTGATGGAAGCGTTTCAGCCACTTTCATGTTAAAGCAACAACCCAGACACCCACTCACATTCAGGCACAGACAAGTCCTATACAGGACAAGCATCAGGACAATCTGCTTGTTTTGAAAAATATTTAAAACAAGATTTTGAAACTTCTGTTTCCGTAAATATTGGAATCTCAAACGCAGTGCCTGCCCTTAACCGAGACCGCTTGCCCTTCAGGCTGAGGGCAGCCAAACATATCAGATTGCTCTGCCTGCTCACAGGCACATGGAAAGTTGCATGGGGGTATTTTCAGTCACAGCTTGTTTATCTCTGCTAAAATTTACTTCTTTAAAGCATTCGGTGTCTATTGGCCAAGAGGATTCGAAGGCACCCTGCAATGCTTTTTTTACTATAGTAATTCTAAATATTTTACAACTTACAGTGCTCTCTGAAGGAAGACATTCGATATTGCTGCATGCAGTTAGGAAGCAAAGTGCTTTTGTATTACAGAAAATACGGAGCTTTAAAATAAACTAGACTGAAATATCTTTATTACTAAAGCTGCTTTGCACTGAGAAAGCCTTACGATGAGAAAGCAGGGCAAACATTCCAGTAAATGCAGTTGTCTATTCTCAGCATCAAAATAAATTTAAATGCAAACTAGGAAACTGAAGTATGGCAGATTTTGTATGTGCTTACATAAACAACATAACCCTAAACCCTGATCAGATTAGAAGTGTACATTAACACAGATTAGAAGTTAACACATGCACAATACAGATGAAGGTCTTTTTTCCTTCCTGATACCAGCTGCATGAAACTCTGCCAGAAGAAATGCCTTTAAACCAGGAGGAAGTATCAGCATTTTAAACTCAGGCTTCCTCCAGCTTAATCAGGTATTTTTTCAGTATGAAAGTTCCTCTGTTTAAACTAAAACATAAGCCATTTTAGCAACTGCCTTTCACACAGACATATCCTAATTCTGCAGCATTTTCAAACACTTCACATATATATTTCTCCAAAAGTTACACTGACAAAAGTCATTTCACCCTTTTGGGAAGTACTTGACGTCTATTTATTTTCAGCCTTTTAACAGTCAGGACACCAAGGTTTCCTTCTGCCTCAGCTCTAAGCACCACGTAGTTTGATTCTAGCCAAACCACAAATAACATTTATTTTAGCTATTTAATCATTCTAGTCCTTACCTTGGGGGGGGGGGGGGGGGGGGGGGGTAGGAAAAAAAAAAAGATAAAAAAGCCTTTTCCATTTTCTTCCATTAGAAGCAAATGCTGGCTTTCTGTTCTTTGCAGGTATCCTAAAACAGACAGAAAGCTGCATTCCAACATACCTTGAAAGGAGAGCAGCGCTCAGTGCCAGCTGTGTGACTTTTCAGCAGCTGCACTCAGACTCGGGCATTCCCAAGGAACCACGATGCCACCGAGCCGCGCAGCTCGCAGCGAGGAGCGCAGCCGATCGCTCTCACACGCCCTTCCTCGTCCCTGGCGCTCTGACAGCTCAACACTTCTAAGGGCTGCAGCAGGGCTCGTCTGCCAGCCCCTGTGCCACTGCGAGAAACCATCCCCTCCCTGCTATTAAGCGCGTGTTGCCATTATATCTCACCCGCGCCTCACAGCCCGCATGCAGCGGCTGTGGGAAAGCCGCATTTATTTGTACAGGAAGCGTGAGCACAGCACTTCCTACTTCCCATGCCAGACTCACTTCAGCCGCAGGTGATCGCCGGCGCCCGGGCAGCTCCCAGCCGGGGCACACCTCACCTCCTGCTTGGGGTCTCTGGGCAGCTCCCGGCCGGGGAACACCTCACCCTCTGCTTGGGGTCTCGGGCAGCTCCCGGCCGGGGAACACCCTCACCTTCTGCTTGGGGTCTCGGGCAGCTCCCGGCCGGGGAACACCTCACCCTCTGCTTGGGGTCTCGGGCAGCTCCCGGCCGGGGAACACCCTCACCTTCTGCTTGGGGTCTCGGGCAGCTCCCGGCCGGGGAACACCCTCACCTTCTGCTTGGGGTCTCGGGCAGCTCCCGGCCGGGGCACACCTCACCTTCTGCTTGGGGTCTCGGGCAGCTCCCGGCCGGGGCACACCTCACCTTCTGCTTGGGGTCTCGGGCAGCTCCCAGCCAGGGAACACCCTCACCTTCTGCTTGGGGTCTCTGGGGCAGCTCCCAGCCAGGGAACACCCTCACCTTCTGCTTGGGGTCTCTGGGGCAGCTCCCAGCCAGGGAACACCCTCACCTCCTGCTTGGGGTCTCTGGGCAGCTCCCGGCCGGGGCACACCTCACCTTCTGCTTGGGGTCTCTGGGCAGCTCCCAGCCAGGGAACACCCTCACCTCCTGCTTGGGGTCCCTGGGCAGCTCCCAGCCAGGGAACACCCTCACCTCCTGCTTGGGGTCCCTGGGCAGCTCCCGGCCGGGGCTCCCACCCCAGCCCCGCAAGGTAAAACTGAAAGCAGCGAGGCTTCTTTCAGATGTGACACTCATCAGAGCCCTCCCAAATTAACCTGTTTGGGGAGAGCACTTTGCATAGCTGCTGATGTCTGAAACCTCGCTGGCTTCTGCTTGTGAAAAATGTCATCTTAAAAAAAAAAAGTGATTTCTTCACGTTGGAGGGGAAGTGAGCAAAAATTCTAGACTCAAAAGTAGAGTAACCGTGTAATCTCACATCTGAGTGTTTAATGATGATGGTGCTCATCTAACTCTGTCAATACTAAAATTACACTCTTTAAGCTGTCCCTGTGTGCAAGAGGGGTTGGGAATCCTGCAGTTCCGTATTCCAGACCTACGGGTGTGATTCACAGCAGCCAAGTAGCAGGAGAATATTTAATTGTGCCACATGACACCAAACCCTCAAGAACTTTTCCTGCTGTAGGAAATGCACCACACCCACAGATAAAAAATATAGATACATCAGAGTGCAGAGAGTGCAGAAAAACAGAAGGAAGTATAAATGTTAATCTACAATTTTCTTATGATGAAATAAATTTACTTTGTACTTCATGCAATCATTGCTGGCATTTTGCCTTCAGTACTTTCCTGTGAAAAATTATATATAGGCATTTCTTCCGGGGTGTATAAAAGCTCACAGCTGAGCTTTTAGTTATTTTCAGACAATTATACTGCATCAGATTAATTTAAGGAAAAAAAAAAAAAGTTTGTATAACTTCAATTCAGCCTCCTTGCTGAATTATTCCTTTATATTACAGCATATATAAAGCACCGTCATATACTCTTTTCATCTCAGAATATATATACAAAAAATATATATACAAAATACCGTCATATACTCTTTTCATCTCAGAATAAGTACAAACTTAGAATTTATCTATTTAACACTGGGTGTTATAAATAATTTTAGATATAGTTATATAATATATATAATATATATAATTTTATCAATACAATTTTTATATATTTATATATATATTTAAGGAGGGAGGGAATAATAACCAGAAAAAAATATAGCTGCTCTAACATGTGGGATCTTGTTGATTCTTATGGTGTTCATCAACAGGGTTACAACAGGATTAGGCAAACTAGATCCATGTCACATTTACTGCCACTTGAACTAGGAGAGCATTTCCCAGCAGATGCAGACATATGTATTCTCAGCAGTGGCCAGTCCTAGACAAGACTCAAGAAACACTGAAGGCTCAGAGCTATTTTTTAGGCTCTAGAGCAGTACTGAAAATGTGGAATTCTTTGGAAAACTTTACGAGTAGAAAATTATTCTCTCTCTGTGGTTAGATTTTCATCCGCCATGTTCTGTTCTAGTATGAAATAACTTGAGCCTCTATCACTACTCTCTTCACTACCTTCCCTCTGCTTCCAGCTCCTGTATTTTCCTCCTGCAGCTGTCCCCTTTGCTACTCTGCCTCCATCACACAAGTACTTGGTAGGCCACAGATGAAAATCAGCTGGAAAACTCTTCCTGTTCTCAGCCCCTGTGCTCACCACCACAGCACATAAACAAGCAAAAGGCAATTATCTCAAGGAGGAGAGTGGTGAGAGAGAGAGGATGAAGGAAATCAAGTCATTCATGCAGGTGTAGGAAAAATAGCAGAGCAGGGCAGCTGCCAATAGCAGAGTAGCAAAAGTGGCATCTGGTTTGGTACTTACTCCCTGCTGGCACAACAAAACAAAAACAAGCTTCACTGAAGTATCCTCCACCAGTGAAGAGACAGAACTACAACAAAGGTTAGCCATCTTCCTTTCAGATAAATGATGAGACCAGCTTGTATCTGGGGGGGATGTTTTTCTAAACTATGAAAACTAGATTTAGTACATTAAAATGCACAGACATTCTGGAAACTTCATCTACAAACATCCCATAGTATTTTTATCCCATTTCCTACTGTCTCCATGCAAGTTATAATGTGATTCCATAAATGTGCAAAACTGCTTACAACAAAATTATTTTCCTTTAGACATCACAAAATTAGTGAGAAAAATAATGTTTCTCGAGACATTTAATTAACTGGAAATGTTATGAAATGCTTGTTTCAAGCACTCCACTTCTTGGGTATCAAATCCTTAACTGTGGGGCCGGGATTTCCACGGCGGACAATCACTTACTGATGCTCTGTGGACAGCTGGCTATGCCTCTGCTTCCATCTTCTCTTCAGTATTTGCCCCTACTTCTGTGCTTCTCCAGCATCTCCACAGCAAAGGGGAGCTGAAGGTGACGTGGCACTGTACAGGAGCTCAGGCCATAAGGACTTGAAATGATCAATACTGATGATTCTTTCAATTGCCGTCACTCAAAGATGTGAGCTGGACTTTTATGAGCTCTTCTGTCAAAATGATTTCTCTTCCAGCTGTACCTCGAGCCCAGGTACTTCACAGTTTCACAGAAGCACATCTTCTTGGCAAGCTAATTTTATGAAGTGTTATGAGTCATGCTAAAATTGCTACCCAGCTCAAATCCCTGAATCTCTTAACCCAGACTGATTGGCTTCCTTTCTGAGCCAGCAAATAGAAAAGTTCACATTGTCACACAATTCCAGACAAGGCACAAGCTAAGTTTTCCCCGCTTGCTTTCTTCTTGGACAGCTGTGATATAAAGCACAAAACTGAAAGGGTCCAATTAATTTTTTGGACACGCTTAACTGATGCTTTGATACCTCCAGAATGGGGGAATAGCTGAGCCTTTGAGATGTCAAAATGCACTATCTCTGGAAACTTTTAGTTGAGTTACTAGCCAAAATAAGAATGAAGGCTGGCCTAGTTAATTACTAACATGGCTGTGTCATCCTTGCAGTGACTTGAAATACTTCAGAAATTACTAAGCTGCTCTTCATTAACTGAAATTGCTAATTAATTTTTGACATAGATGGGTAAAAAAGTAATAGCGTGACCAGTGAAAAGATCGCTGACATCCCACAAACAAAATACCATTAACAGCGAGTGAAAACACTGAGTTAGTGTATAACTAACAGTTTCATTGTAATTCTACATAAAGAAAATAGGATTAGCTTATGAGGGGAAAAAAAAAATTTCACTACCCTGTTTCACAGTTTTCAACTAAAAGAAAACAAATCACCTGAAAAGCAATTGGCATCCATAGGTGTAATATAAAAACAGGTTTTATAACAAGCTTTTTAAAATCAGAGCCTGACTAAAAAAAATGAGTCCTAATCAATTTTATTTAGTGTACATGCAAATAATCCATTTTGCTATGGAAAAAGAAAGTATTTGTAGATGTGAGAGAGACAGTTTCACAGCAAAAATAGATACTAATGAGTAACATAACCAATACTGAAAACAAAACAGGAAGGGGTTTTGCACAGGGAGTATACATATATTATCTGAAGTTGAAAGTGTGACGCCCCTGAAGTCATGGACTATTAATAGTTGTCTTCAATGGGAACTATTTTAAAGGGGAATTACACCATAAAAAGTCATTTGTGGTACCTTCATAAACCAAATGTTTTTAAAAGGGATCTCTATTCCATATATGTATTTATACAATCACACGGTGCTAGAAATCAGATGACAGTGCAGAAAAATACAGAGCTATGTAATATTTTGCATGCAGACAAGCTTTAATGAGTATAGCTACAAGAAAATCAGGACCACATCTTTTTCTGTTTAAATAACCCTATTGTTCTACAATTCTGACTTGGTATGCAAGTCACTCACTGACAAACCAGGCTTAAAATCTTCATTAATCCCTTTAGCTAAAACATAAAACTTTATTATAAGGAGTTTTCTATTAGAGTGAAATAAATCAAGTTAAATTATTTTGAAATAATTGTAGGTGCTATGTAAAGAGCTTTTAATTTTACAGTAAAAAAGGGAGTGGGATGGCCCACTGTCTCTACTGAACATTTATGATTATGATCTCAAAAATGAGTGAATTTGTCTCAGACACAAAGAAGAGTGGTAGGTGACTTACACTCATCCTGTTCCTACGAACAAAGCAAAATGCAATATTCATTAGACTTTGTTGGCATAGTGGATCATCTCCAAACAAAATCATATGGCTTTCATAAGTTCAATATTTCTTCTCCAGCCATATTTTTTCCTGTGTTTATACTTTAAAGTATCTTTTGGAATTTGATCCATACAGAACTGTGCTAGAGGGGAAAAAATAAAATCGAGCCTCAGCAGAAAACCATGAGAAGTCAGCCT